GACAGGCAGATAGAGAGAGAGAAAGAGAGGGAGAGAGAGAGAGAGAGAGAGAGAGAGAGAGAGAGAGAGAGATTGCGAGCGAGTGATAGTGAACAAGAAAGAGAATGCGAGATTGAGCGAGATCGTGAGAAAGAGAGGAAGAGTGACAGGCAGATAGAGAGAGAGAGAAAGAGAGAGAGGGAGAGAGATAGAGGGAGAAAGAGAGAGAGAGAGAGAGAGAGAGCGAGAGAAATACTCAATTATTCAAAAAAAAGATCAACAAGTTTCGATTAACAAATAATGCATCAACCAGGAAATATTGCAGTATGCTTGTGACCAAATCTTAACGTCAACTTTTGCCCGTCTGGCCGCGAGATCGACACATGAAAATGGTCAATGGGCGTCGGGTTGAACTCGTCCAAATTCCATTTGATTGCGGGTAGATGGCAGTTTGGCCGCACCCACTCCATCTCGAATGTGATCCGCTCAATGGTTCGCCATCCGTCCCTCCAACCCAGCAGGAAATGCCTCATGTAGGCAGCCTGCAAGCTCGTGTCGTGGTACTCAACAATGCGCATCCGCAAATTTGTGAACCGCCCATACCAGCCGATTTGGAAGGTATCTAGGGGCATTGGATGTACAAGTTCCTCCGCTGAAGCCCGTAGAAAATCGATGACGCCGAATGGTATAGCAACCCAGCCTGGGTAGATGATCTCGACACGCCGAAACTTGCCCGCGGGCTTGTACGTTCTTAACTGGGCAACACTCCAGCGCTGCATCCACTGAATTGTCAGCTGGTCGGCCTGTAGCGGCGGGAGAGTGAAATCGGGGTGTGGATGTGTTAAATGCACCTTTCCGACTCTTGCTCGCTCCAGGAGCTGACCCCACATCTGTAGGCTATAGATGTAGTTTGATACGTCTTTCCGGATCAACGTTGTCCCTCGAAGTTCCCAACTTCGCATCCGAATCTCGCTGAAGTAGCGTGGGCTCGAGCAGACGAATTCCCAGGTTTTCCGGCTTGTTATAGCAAACGCGACGAGGGAGTTGGGATCGATGTTGAGGTAGGAGATGATCAAGTGTTTTACCTGCCACGGCAACGCGTGGAAGCCGATTTCCTGAAAATCTGAATTTCAATAGGGTTTGCAACTTTTTTTGGTTAAACCTGCCAACAAGGGCTGTTTTTAGGGGATTTTTGAGCTTTGCGATGGGACCTAGCCAGTTCGATAAAGTTTGAAATTTTGCAAATCCTATCTATTAAAATTTCCTGAACGACCGCGGTCATGGAGAAAATGTGGATAAAAATCTGAAATGGCTGATCCTACGTTTTTGGCCCGAGCTTAACAAAACGTAAATTCTTAAACTTTTTTCAAAGACCGTTAGTGTTCGGCAATTTTTCAAAGCTTTTCGTTGTTGCAGAATGTCGCTCCCTCTCTCGGCAGAACTCTTAAATCGGGACACCCAAAATTCTTCGTAAAAACGGCTCATCTTTTTGGGTAAATTTTTCAACTGATGGGGTCAAAAATTCATTATTTTTACCTGATCCTCTAGAGTTGCAGGAGCCCCTTTTTCACAAATGCTGAGAGCCTGCATCATCGCGGTTAATTCGTCGCTCCCATCAGACAGCTCCATTTATTAAATTTTTTCGAATGAGGAGAAGCCACTGCAATAGGAAGAGGAATAAAATAGCGTAGTCGTTTTATTTTGAAGTGATATTTGGTAACGTAATCGGTTCCTCGGATAGCCCCTTCGGATAACAACTGATTTGAAAGGAGCAGATGTTGGCTGACCTAGTTTTTCGTTGTTACCCTTTCAAGATATGGTAGGGAGGAGCAAGGTTATACTCCAAATTTTGCGGTAAATCGCTCGGAATGGATCGCCGTTGCTTGATTTTTACAGAGATCGTGAAAGCAGAGATCCATGTGTTACGTGGATTATCGGAAGTTAGGTAAAATTTTTGGCCAGACTGCGTTTATCTGCTGGTTATCGAATTAATGAGAGCCGGATACATTAATGAGAGAGTGCAGATGTGAGCCTACCTTATGCAAAGATTTTTACCGGTACCGTATCGGGGTTTCAGACCTTTTGAGGCAATCGTATTTAAAAATTGTGGCCTCCCAAGCCGCCCGCCCAAAATGACCGAATTTCGCGAAGTCGTTGTATTTTTTGCCCTGCAACGTCCTTTACCCTGTCGTTCGGCTGATTGGAACAACATTCGAAACGAGCGTAAAATTTTGCCGCAAGATAGAAGAATGTTGCAACACGCTGTCACGCGCGCAGTTGCTCCCCCCAGCCCGTGAATCCATTTTTTTTGGCGATGTATGTTATATTTGCCACGCCAGTACCATCCCAAAAATTTATTAACAATTCGTAACTAAACCTAAGCAACGTATTCAACAAAAACAAGAAAGTTGCAATGATAATTCAACGGTTTTCACATGCTGCCGTTTTCCGCAATTTTCCCTCCTCCGGTGGATGTATCGATTTCGCGTGCCAGGCGATTGAATCCGATCGGTCGTTTGTACAATTTCATTTCTGGCAGGCCGGTCACCGCTTTCAAAGTGACCGTACGCCCATCAGCCCGTCTAATCGTTGTCGTGAAATTGTTTGCCTTGTTGATGCCGTACTGCTCCAGGCCCGTCGGCCACGGTACATGATGCCCATAATAACCGCACCAGAAGTCTCCTTCGAACTCGAACTCAACCGTGTCAAGCTCGCGCTTTCCAGCGACCCAATCGTCGAGCATCACCCTCAGATAATAGAGCGCCATCTCCGTTATGGTGACCCATTGTCTGATTTTCACCCGGGCATTGGTAAACCGTAGCAGCGAGTCTGCCTGGTTGCGATAAAAAGGCGCATCGAGCACAAGGTATTCAGTGTTGTCGCGCAGGAAATCGATGACGTCAGAGGGGACTTTGTCGGGCTCATAGAACAATTCAACGCGTCGGAATTTGCCGCCCGGCTTGTAGCTCTGCAAGTTGCATAGACATTTTTGAAAATGCGGTTATTTTCATTTTTTCGAAATTTCAATTTGTTAAATGTTTGAGCTGATTCATCCTAGCAAAAAAAACAGGGAATGACTTTCCACGATGGCACATCGCGTGGGTAATGAAAATGAATAAATTATAGGGTTATGTGTGCACACGAGCCTAGACAAAATAAAATCCCGGCAAGATCAAATTTCGATAAAGTAAACTTCCAGCACATGAAAATTGCGGCAAAATGCAAGCTCGACAAAATGATTTTTCGAAAAATGAAATTTCGACAAAATGAGAGCAAATCTGAAAATCATATTTGGGATGCTCGCTTTGCGAAGGATCTATTTTGCGAAAATTTGAGCAATTGACTTCAGGGGGTACAAAAAGGAGCAAAACACAACATCGTAACAGAAATTTTTTTTTGAAAATACGACATGCCGAAAATGCCGGAAATTTGAACGAACCCGGCATTTCGAAAAATGATTTTCGAAAAATACCTGCAACTTCTCGACGCTCCACCTTGCGATGCACTGCACCACAAGTTCTTCGGCAAGCAATGGCGGAGGCGCCTCGAAGGCGCGCGATGGGCGCAAGAATAATCTTCCGACTCGAGCGCCTTTGATGATCCGTCTCCAAACGCCAACGTCGCTTGCCCAGTAACGCGCTCCGTTCCTCATGATACACACCGTATGGTCCTCAAGGATGTCGCCCATCCTGATCTCGTCAAAATACCGTGGGCTCCGGCAGACAAGATCCAAGCATGTCCGGCTGACCGTCGCGAATTCGGAGAATGAGCGGAGGTCGCAGTTTAGATAGGAGATGATGTTGCGCTTCACCATGTCCGGCAGATTTGGGAAGTCGAGGGCCTGAAATTGGGTTGTAGCGATGTCTTATAGCGTATATAAAGCATGCTTTAAGTTGTTCTAAAACTAGGTTTCCGTAAGCTTTTCAATTGACCATTTTTGGTCACAAGCCGAATGCGCCATCAGATAAAACGGTGGAAGCACAGGATCTACGCCAAAAATACTGACATAGTCAGCATCATCTGACGAATTCTTTTCCGTAGTATCCGGAAGCAAAAGCTGCTGTAGCTCCCGGGTCATTCTGGGTGCAGGAAGCGTTATTTCTTAAAAAAGTCTAATTCACAGATTGAAGACTTGGAAATGGGAGAGAGAACGAAGGATCAAGAGAGAGAGAGGGGGGAGAGAGAGAGAGAAAGAGCGAGAGAGCGAGAGAGAAAGAGCGAGAGGTACCTAGGTATATTTGGATAGCCTGACTCGGACAAAGGTTTAATACCCAAATTCGCGCAGACGTTGACCTAATTTATTGATGCGTCTATTTTACCGGCGTAAGCCGATTTCCCACTACTACTTCGAATTTCAGATTCAGCCTCCCTGCGATAGTCAATTCTTACAATCAGCTATCGTTCTCCTGGGTTTGCATTTTCTCATGTTGTCGAGCTCCACCTCCTTGTTTGGATGACTTTATTCATAAATCCACAACATGTATATTTTGTATGCATACAACCCTGGCTAGAGGTGAATAATTGAATCTGGCAACCGGGTGAGGGGGTAAATCACAAACTGAATCGGGATAAATGAAAGAAGAATGACATGCAATATCGAAAAGATTTGGATGACTAGAAATGGAGTTCCTGTCACAGAAAATTGTATAAGACTATTTAAAAAAACACACAAACACTATACAACACTATTTCACGGGGTTTGGTGTTAATTGAGACCGGTATTTTTGTAGGTTGGGGCATGGAAGAGTGAGAGAGAGAGAGAGAGAGAGAGAGAGAGAGAGAGTGATAGATAAAACGTGGCTGATCGAGAAAAATAGCTTTATTTGACAGCGAAAGTGAAGAAAGAGCTTGGGAAGGGGTTTTTGTAATGGCCGTATATTGCTTCGAACCGGGGTCATGGAAATCAGGTTAAACAAATCAGCGTTTTTGATAAGGTAACTTGCAGAAACTATATTTCCTAGGGATGCCTACCGAGATCGTAATCAGATTCATAGACCTAAGGCCGCGATTTCTGATATCTATTTGTTATATTTAAAATGACGTTTCAGGTAGATCTCGTCCCCAAGCGGCGTCATAACGACCTTGTTGAGGATGACGCTCATCTCCAGGTGGGAGCGCTTCTTCTCGTTGAAACGCACGAAGCTCTCCACCATCATCAAATACTTGGCGAATTTGGCGACGCCCTAAAAATTGTGTGTTAAGGTTTTCGAGATCCGGAGAGGGTCAGCGAGAGCCCGAGAAAGAGTGAGAGCGAGAGTGAGTGAGACGGAGCTAGTGAAACAGCGAGAAAGAGTGAGAGAGAGAGCGTCAGAATGAGCATAAGCTTGCTATCTTACCTTTGCTTCCCCATATTGAGAAATCAGAAGCCGATGCAAGCAGCAGCACAATCGGGCCCTCTCGTTGTCGACAATCTTCTGACCCTCGGGCGACAGATCGCAAAGCCCTGCAGAACGATAAAGTAAATTTCAGCAACTTGGAATTCCGAAGGCTTTAATTTAAGGGGGCACTTTCAGCAGCTTGGGTTTTCCACAAATCGTGGAAAAATTTGCATGCGAAACGCTTGCTCCTCTCACCAGGGCGCGCTCTCTAGCCGGAAATACATGCAAATTTTTTCATGGTTCACCCCTTTAAAGCTAGTTGAGCCCTTACCTGGAGTAAAAAGCAAAATCGCCTTCATCAGAATGTAGTGCTGCTTCTCCATGCCGCAATTTCGGATCAGCGCAATCGGCCGGCAATAGTTCTCGCGGAAGTAGTCCTCGAAACGATGGTCACTAAAGAAATTTTTGTACATTTGCCTTTATTGATGCCACGATGTAGAGGTAAGGGCACAACAAAGAGAGCTTGCAGGCGGAATATGACTTACAATCGTGTCAGCTGGAACGACAACGCATCCAGGCCATCCGGAAAGATGAGCTTCTCGCTCTTCTGTTCTAACGAGCAAAAAGCTTGGAGCAAGATGAGGATCATGCCGACGACTTGCGAAAGAAGGATCCGCTGAAATTAGGGCGATTTCAAAAAACGATCGCTGCTAGCTCCCCGATATCTCACCCTCTCTCTCTGTCGCTCCCCCTCTCTCTCTCCCACTTGCTCTCCTTTTGTATTACCTACCTGATCAAACTCTTTCAACTGATGAAAAGCGGGAAACGTTTTGGCGTATTCACAAGCCAAGAGCATGTCAACGACCATCCAGAATTTGATCGGATTCTTCTTGTAAACCTGCATCGTCGATTCTTCTCCGGTTAACTAAAAAATCCAATAACTAATCAGGCTCATTAAGCTTTATACCTTGCACATCTCCACGAAACTCTTCCCCAGTATACAGGGTTTTTCAAGGAGTTCAGGTAATGTGATGTCGAAAGACCATGGGCATTCCTGGCGTCGCATGTAGACGGTCGAGGTTTCTTTTCTCATCTGAAATAATAAGCATTTAAGATGAATGCTTATACTAAAATTCTGCGCCAGAAATCGGCCAGATTCGGGGTCGTAGAACCTTACCAAGGTATCCAGCAATTCCGCAAAAGCCGTATCTTCCCGGGAGGCCAACGAGACCACTTGCATTTGCATCTAAAATCGGGTATTGAAGAGGCTTCAGCAGAGAGAGAGAGAGAAAGAGAGAGCAGAGAGAAAGAGAGAGGAAAGAGAGATAGAGAGAGAAGGAGAAAGAGAGAAAACATAGTTAAAAACTACAATACCTGTTCCTCATAATCGTCAGTCGGCGAACTCGTCCCCGCTTCATCATCATCAAATATCTCTTCTTTTGCTGTTTTTGCGGGGTATTGAATTGCTAAAAAACATTATACCCTTCAATTTTTAGTATTTAGCCTACCATTTGGGTCCATTCCCACCAGAACGCATTTCTGGAAACGACACGCTCGACAGGCACACCGGAAATCCTTGTCAAAAGAACATCTACCGCCCTTCGAGCAGGTGAACTTTCGGTTGGCGATGATGGTGCTGAACGAAAAGTAATGGACATGTTCGTTATCCTACCGCCTGAAGAACGTCTTGCAGCCGTTGCAGGAAATTGTACCGTAGTGGTAGCCAGTTGGCTAAAAAAAATAGGGACATTAAATTACATTCGCTTTGTATAACCAAGATAACAATTTTTTAATCAATTGGTTTTGGTCAATTCCGCTGCACAGCGCTTTTCAGCTTCAGGTTCTGGCGGCTTACCTTATCCCCACACACCGCGCACTTGAATTTGTCCGATTTCCGGATGTTTTTGAACTTCTTCACCGGCAGCTGGACGCTAAGGCTGGGCGAAGGTGACATTAGCGCCTAAATGATTTCGTAACGCGAAAAAAAGCATAATTACCGATTGACAGGTTGGCGAGCTGTCCGAGTCTAGCGATTCTTCATACCCGGTGGATTCGGATTCATCTTGCTAGAAAAGAGAGGGTTCTATAGATATACAACATTTACGATGCCGAACCTCATCGATAAATCAATAATTTTACAGAAATTTTCTATTTTACAAGTATATGTGTGATATTGGTTACAGAACGAATAGGAGCTTCGCTCCTTAAATTAGATTTATATAAATGCGAAACCGAGCAAGAACTATCAGAAAAAAACCAGTAAAGCAGGTTTCCGAGCCGACGCGATCAAAAAAACTAGGAAATTTTCAAAAATTTCCGCGTAAGAAAAACACTGCTTCTCGCCACGGAACTTTTAGATTCCTATGCAAGACCAAGAGCTCATAAGAACAAAGATAAATCTGCGTAAATCGAATACAAGATTGGTTGCTTTAGCCTCGGGCAGACCAAGTACAAAATTCCCCCGTGTTTCCCCCGTGTCCTCCGCAGATCTGAATCAATATTGGGGGGAGCATGTGGGTGGGCAAGTGGGAGATATGCAATGCTGGATGGCGCTGAACTGTCTGCATTTTATGCTCCCGATATGGATACAAATCGGGGGGACTGCAGATTTTGCGGAATTAGGATTGGGACGAGCTTTGTGCAAGCCTTTTGTAATTTTATAGTTGCTAGCATGCGGGGACAAGTTCGGGAAATGAAGAGTGCGAGAGTGATATAATGAGAGAGAGAGCGAGAGAGAGAGAGAGGGAGGGAAAGAGGGTGAGAGTGATTAAGCCAGAGAAACAGTTATAGCAACAGATGAGAAAGCAAGGGAAAACGAAACAGCGATCTCAACTACGCAAACTACTAAACTACTGCGACCAATCTTTTGGAATTTAGGATTTTACGTAAGAAATAGGCGAGAAAGAGAAAAAATAAACAATAAACAAGTATTTACGTAAAAACCCACCGTTGCATCAGGATCAATTTTCGTGACGGGATTAATGATGGGTTGGGCTCTCAGCAAAAAGCCTTGGTAGAAATCGGGACTCGAAGCTTGGTTGCCAAGGTCTTTTGGCCACCACTCCTCCACCCCACTCGCCAAGATCGGTCATCATCTTTATCTGGAAACAAAAAACTTAAGTCGGCTTAGTAGAAAAGAAAGAAAGAGAGAGAGAGAGAGAGAGAGAGAGAGAGAGAGAGAGAGAGATGGCGAGAGCGAATAAATTAGGGCTCAAAAAAGATATCAATCAATTTTGTTACGTCAAAAAATGCAAAAAGTCGTTGCTCCATTCCAAGAGAATAGAGAATAACAAGGGGTATGGGGATGCGCCAAATCGATCACTTTCTGCACGTAAATAGGGAATCGCAGAGCCGGTTCCCGATCTTTTGCCTTGACCACCCGGGAAAAGGGATCTCCGGGTTTGAGACGCAGCTCGCGAGTTGAGAATTTTGGCAAATTAGAAAAATGGCCTGAAGTAGCTTGAAGATAAAAAGAGCAAGGGGAAGCTTACCCTGAGCCCAAGTCCACGTTAAGCCTAAAACGTCAAATGCCGTTTCATGAAAGGTTGGCTTGAGATCAGAAAGGCGTCACTGGGCCGCAAATTAACAAAGTTAGCGTAATTGACCCTCGCCACACCGCTGCGCCACTGCCAAAGTAGCGGTTTGCGGGCGGGAATTGATCCCGGAATAGAGGTTTGGGCAGCTGCGGTGTCCGCGCTTATTTCGGCGAAAATTGGAGGGCTCGAAAGGGTTCGCGAGGTAGAGACCGAGAGAGAAATGGACATTCGCGAAAAAATACTGGGACAATGGGTGAGGGCGAGGGTCGAGTGTTTGGACCCGGAATTCAAGCGAGAGGAAAATGATTCACCAAACGATGGCATCGGCCAGCCGGAAATATGTGGACAAGCGCGCCGTGTCGATTATTGGGCGAAAAAATCGAACTACAGGTGTAGGCGGGATTGGGTTATAATTGGTACCTACTGTGGCTACTGTATTGCTTTAAACAGGTTACGAAACTGGCTAGTCTGTGCTCCTTCTGAAAGCCTCTGAAGACAAACCCTTAGTTTCGAGCTCAGCAGTCTCAGACATTGATAGATCGTTATGTGGAAGGTTATTGATGGAAAAGAAAATTTTGCATATAGGGTTTTGTCGGTATTTTTCTGTCCTTGCGGGAACCTTTAAGAAAATCATGTTGAATCCGAATGTCTCAACTTTCAGGCTCCTTTAAAAAATTTCCAGCTGCAGCAGAGTGTACCCAGGTGTTATTCTGGAATGGACCAAGGAATCTGGGAGGCTAATTGCCTTATCAGCCCCGAAACCGAATTAGTGCAGTATTCCCGGCGGATATCCGGTGACGACACAAGGTCTCCTGCCAATCGGCTGTAGTAGATAGATTCCATGAATCGAATTTTTGATGCAAATCGCCGGGGGATTACAGTACGTCAAAAATTTTACATAGGCGATCCGCAAAATGCGTATTGTAAGTGCGTTGTCAAAATAAACAGTGAAAATATTTAGCCCTACGGAAGTTTTAACTGCAATATTTGTGAATGCAATAATGAGACGCCTGCCAAAATTACAGTACTGAAGAAAGAACAACACAATACGGTAACTCCCTGCCTTTACGATGCGATTCAGTTATATTCTGTGGCCACCCTCGGCCTCCTCTATAACGCACTAATAGTCATCACGTTGGCGAATCGTCTTGTGCCGAGTTGTGCAATTACGCCCCCACACGCCGTGGTCGCTCGATGGCGGGCTCAAAATAACACAGGAAGACGCATCAAAACGATAAGGAGGGTTTGAAAAATCAAGATTCGTGTGCTTGATGCGCTCGGATTCGTGCACTACAGCACGAAGTAGAAAGTGAAGTTACAGTGAGTTGTGCACCTGACTGGTACGTGGTAAAATACGGCCTTCTGGGGTGCCTTAAGTTTTTATTTATTTTATTTATTTTATTTTATTAAAATTCACAGGAAACATAGATAAGTCATCTGCGCTACATTAATTAAGCGTTACTTGGCTACATCGTCCCACAATGAAAGCCACTATCGATACTTACACACTTTCGGCAGAAGCCTAAAAATCTAAAAATCCCTTCCAACAATGCAACAATATCCCGTGCGAACTTTCCCAAACCGGCAGCCGTTTACAGCCACCCGATCGGGGGAGTGCGGGCTTAATCGCAAAATTAGCCCCGATTCGCAGAGCTACTGCCCGGCCTTGTCCTCGAATAGGTCATGGGGCACAAGTCACAGAGTCTCTATAGTTTCTAGTCCCTTTATTCGGGAATTTCATAACCTTGGAATGCGGGTATGTATGCCCCCGTTAATCCGCGCAAATCGCTCTGAATAGCTGGTCACATAGGCGGGAAAGGGATATGAGATTTGACCAGTCGAAAAAAGGTAATAATCTTGTTTGGACCTTGGAAAAGCCTATTTGCCCGGAAACGCAAGATTTGCTGGTTGGGATATACTATAGTGCCACAGTTTTCAAAAGAAAGCTTTTTTGATTTTAGCGGCATTTTCAGGCCTTGAAGTTCTGCTTACAACACTTTACGTTGATCAAGGGTGAGAATCCGTTTTCAATTGTAAAAACCCTTAGAAATTACGTTTAAAGTCTTGTAAAATATTACTGTAGCCAAAAGTAAAATTTTCTCCGTCTCATAAGCTCGTACTAAAGCTGACTTTCCTTATACGCGGGCGTACGTATGATTAAAATCAGGCATAATGGCTTCGACTTAACGCGCTTCCTTTCTTCCCTAAGCCTAAGCTCAATTCCGCTTCGCAACTTCGTCCGTGCAGGCCGAAAAATCGTAGATCGAGCACAAAACGAGCAAAATCTACACTTTAACAAGCTTTGGTCACTGGGGATCAGGTATTTGCGTGAATGTTCAAGAGTAATTGGCAGGCTAGTCGGTGCTGCTCGCCAGGCTCCACGGGTAGGTTTTTGCGAATGGGACAGCTTGTGAAACCAAAAAATGAGGTACAGATTGTAAAAACAACTTTTTGTAAGTGTCTCAAGAGGATGTGAATATCCTACAGATCGCATGTCAGATTATGGTACTATTGAGGTTAAAGGGCTATTAAATAAGAATGATGTACCAAAGCGTATGTAGATAAACGCTTGAAAAGTTCCGTTGATCACACCTACGCAAGGTGCGAATAAAGTAAATATTCTGATAAATACTTAATGTATGATTGTCCTAGAATACTTAGTGGTTCCGTCTAGAAAACACCAGGAAAGCTCGTCGAAAAAATTAATGATACCATGTAACTCCGAAATTACGCCCTGCCCATATTTTAATGAATAGTGAGAGATAGAGACAGACAGAGGAGAGAGAGGGCGAGCGAGAGAGAGAGAGAGAGAGCGAGTGTTGGAGAAGTAAATGATTCACACGAAAAATCCTTGAACCTCCACGTCAAAAATTCCAGCACAAAGAACATGCCAGTTAAAAAGTCATGCGTCTGCCGGGGTGCTGGTCTCGGCTGTTTGGGAATGGAGAATCGATGATGTGAAAGGTTCGTGTATCGGCCGGGGCAGCAAGGCGAAAAAGACGAGAGCGCGTGTAGCGCCGGCAAACAGAGGCTAGAGACGGGGAGAGAGTGAGAGAGGCAGAGGATGAGGGGAGTGGAAACTATCACCGGGCGACGGTGCGCCGCAGTGAAGATTGGGGGGGGGAAGCGGAAATGTGGGGGATTGTGACCGGGGGAGCCCAATTTGGGTACAGTTTTCGGAGTCTCCGCCCCGACGCTTGGTTCCGCGGGTTTGAAGAGAACGGCTTGCACTTTTGGGGTATTTTGGACGAGCTATGGATAAGATGCGCGCATTGTCAAAAGGATTGGTCCGGTGGGGGCTTGAGTTTAGGCTCAGTCTGAGGTTACGGCTTGCCATCTTAGATTTAGGGGTATATGTCGGCTACGCGGGGGAAATTTTACGCGGGGGGACGGACTGTTGGGGCTGACAAGGGAACCTCAAGTTGGCACAACAGAACGAATTTTCGAAAAAAAAGTAACGAAAACTTGGAGTTGGGCGGAAAGTTCCGATCAACAAGCAGAATGAAAAATTGCGAGCGGATTCGAACCCTCGTCAGTATTCTATCAAGTGAGTCGCTTACCACTCGGCCATTCAACTGGTGAT